ATAATAAAATGTAAGTAGTTTTTGTCGCCAGTGTTTGACATCTGTTTATACAGCGTAACATTATATTTCATCAAACACTTTGGTAGTACCAGGGGCGGACTCACAACTCATGGGGCCCCTGGGCAATAGGGGATCATAGGGCCCCTGTGTCCTTGCCCAAACTCAAAAAAGACTATGAAAAAGGTACCAGGGGGCATCTCATGGGGCCCCCTACTGACCCCCCGGGCAATAGGGGTTAATGGGGCCCCTGTGTCCTTGCCCAAACTCAAAAAAGCCTATGAAAAAGTTACCAGGGGTATCTCATGGGGCCCCCTACTGACCCCGGGCCCTCGGGCAGTGCCCGGGTTTCAAAATGGTCAGTCCGCCCCTGGGTAGTACAGTATATTGTGTTTATGTACATTAAAATTAATTAAAGTGTATTTTTATTTTTGCATTTGAAAAACTGCTGTACAAATGCCATGTGCCATAAAAACACCAAGATTTTATTCTCTAGGGCCTCTTCTTTAAAAAACGATAAAATATTTGAGGGTTCTAAGTAATTTTCCAGCAAGCAACAACTGATTTTCACATGTAAACAAAAAGTGTCAGTAAAGCCCAGGTCTTATTTAATAGCCAAATCTTGGACTGTTCTTTAGAGTGCCGAACCTTGCCTGTTGCCTCATACACATTTCTATTGGCCAGTGAGACATCCCATCCTACTGATGGGTCAACAGAAACATGTAGAGGCATCAGCAAAATCTGACATTACCCCATCAGAATGGCTCGGTATCTGCAGGGATTTTGAAGTGGTTGCAGGTATGTTTTCCACTAGGCGCCTGCACAGGTTTTTACATTTTTGTTCTACAGGCAGCATGTCTTTAACAGCAGATTTTGTATGATTGGTACGTCCTGATAGGTCTGCTATAGCAGGTTTGTCTATAGCTGAACAAAGCTTCAAAAGGCATAAAGAATGAGCAGGTCAGGCGTCATCTGGAGCACAATTTCCCCAGAGTGCGTGATATCACTTTCTAGTTCATAGGAGAAGCTTCCCCTCCCTGCTGAATCAAGGTGCGTATCACGGCCTCCTCCTCGATGAACCCTCAGGAGGGTTGGAAGAAAAGACTGCTCAGTTGTGGAGAGCATGACATTTTATGTGATTGCATTTTTTACACTTTATTCAGGCTCGTCTACTTAAAATATCCCCTTGAAGCTTTGTTTATGCCTAAAATGGCTAAAAAGCAAACACTAGGTGCAATTAAAAGAAAACTGCATCCTTTTCTTAATTTAGGAAAAAAAAAAATGATGATTTCCCCAATGGCTTTTACAGGCAATTTATGGAAATTTGAAAGTAATGCTAAACTATGATTATCAATTTTGTTGTGCTTGCACAGGCACCAGTGTATTGTATTTGTACATATTGTACCCCTGAATATTCCGCTACTTGCAGTGAAACATATTGGGTCATATAGGGTTGCTTGTTTTGTGTTTGTGGTAGCTGGGATGGTGGTATAGTATATACTGAAATAATATCCAAAAAAATTTTTAGGGAAATGTTTATGGGAATAAAAGGAACAACAATGGGATAATATGTCATATGGTACATAGGAGGGATGTTTATCCTGGCAAGTCTAACCAGACAGGAAGATAGGAGAATTTTCCTTTTTTGGAAAAGTATTAATCCACTAGTACAGTTGCCTCCAAACTGCAGCCCTTGGTGCACTATTCCTCCCACTGACACCAATGATAACACACCATCGCTCCCACTGACACCAATGATGAGGCACCATTCCTTCCACTGACACCAACAGTGGGGAACTATTCCTCCCACTGATACCAACTATGGGGCACTATTCCTCCCACTGATGGGGCCTATTCCTCCCACTGATACCAATGATGGGGAACTATTCCTCCCACTGATACAAACTATGGGGCACTATTCCGCTCACTAATACCAATGATGGGGAACTATTCCTCCCACTGATACCAATGATGGGGCACTATTCCTCCCACTAATACCAATGATGGGGCACTATTCCTCCCACTGATACCAATGATGGGGCACTATTCCTCCCACTAATACCAATGATGGGGCACTATTCCTCCCACTAATACCAATGATGGGACACTATTCCTCCCACTGATACCAACTATGGGGCACTATTCCTCCCACAGATACCAATGCTGGGGCACTATTTCTCCCACTGGCACCATTCCTTCCACTGACACCAACAGTGGGGTGTAATCTCTCCCACACTGAACACAAAACACGGCGCACTCTTCCTCCCACTGATACCAACGATGGGGCACTATTCCTCCCACTGATAACTATTGGGCACTATTTCTCCCACTGATACCAATGATGGGGCACTATTCCTCCCACTGATACCAATGATGGGGCGCTATTCCTCCCACTGATACCAATGATGGGGCGCTATTCCTCCCACTGATACCAATGATGGGACTATTCCTCCCACTGATATCAATGATGGGGCACTATTCCTCCCACTAATACCAATGATGGGACACTATTCCTCCCACTGATACCAATGATGGGGCACTATTCCTCCCACTGATAACTATTGGGCACTATTCCTCCCACTGATACCAATGATGGGGCACTATTCCTCCCACTGACACCAATGATGGGACACTATTCCTCCCACTGATATCAATGATGGGGCACTATTCCTTCCACTAATACCAATGATGGGACACTATTCCTCCCACTGATACCAATGATGGGGCACTATTCCTCCCACTGATAACTATTGGGCACTATTCCTCCCACTGATACCAATGATGGGGCACTATTCCTCCCACTGATACCAATGATGGGGCACTATTCCTCCCACTGATAACAACTATTGGGCACTATTCCTCCCACTGATACCAATGATGGGGCACTATTCCTCCCACTGATACCAATGATGGGACACTATATTCCTCCCACTGATATCAATGATGGGGCACTATGCCTTCCACTGACACCAATGATGGAGCACTATTTCTCCACCGATACCAATGATGGGGCACTATTCCTCCCACTGATACCAATGATGGGACACTATTCCTCCCACTGATACCAATGATGGGGCACTATTCCTCCCACTGATACCAATGATGGGACACTATTTCTCCCACTGATACCAATCATGGGACACTATTCCTCCTACTGATACCAATGATGGGGCGCTATTTCTCCCACTGATACCAATGATGGGACACTATTCCTCCCACTGATTCCAATGATGGGGCACTATTCCTACCAGTAATACCAATGATGGGGCACTATTCCTCCCACTGATACCAATGATGGGACACTATTCCTCCCACTGATACCAATGATGGGGCACTATTCCTCCCACTGACACCAATGATGGGGCACTATTCCTCCCACTGATACCAATGATGGGGCACTATTCCTCCCACTGATATCAATGATGGGGCACTATTCCTCCCACTGACACCAATGATGGGGCACTATTCCTCTCACTGATACCAATGATGGGGCACTATTCCTCCCACTGATACCAATGCTGGGGCACTATTCCTCCCACTGATACCAATGCTGGGGCACTATTCCTCCCCCTGATACCACCAATGGGGCACTATTTCTCCCACAGATACCAATGATGGGGCACTATTCCTCCCACAGATACCAATTATGGGACACTATTCCTTCTTCTGACCACAGATGCTATATAATATTATTTTACTCCCACTGACACCAAGACATTTTGTACTCCCATTGGCTAGTCCATTCCTTCCAAAATTCTGAAGGACAGCAAACTGGCCCTTTGTTTAAAAAGTTTTTAAAACCCTCCTCTAGTAGACTTTGAGAGTAGGTAATCCTCTAGTAGGTTTCAAGTGTAGGTAATATCACACCCTGTAGCTAGAGGCATATTAGCCCTGCTACATATGGTCCCTTTCCTTGAATCCAAGAAAGGACACTGTATGTAAGTAGACATAATATTGGACAATCTGGCATCGAATTCCAAATTGTAAACTGAAATATGTAAAAGAACACACTTGTCAAATATGTTTACATTGTTGGATTATTAGTTTAAAATGATATCACTGGTGGTGTTGACATGCTGTCTAGGAATGCATGTCACATTCATTACGCCAGAAAGAAATTAGTTCTGCAGCTCAAATGCAGAGGAAAGATTAGAAAAAAAATTGAAATCTTCTTGGGTATATAATGCTAAACCCTCAACAAAGAAAGTTTTTTTTTTTTTTTCTTTCTAGAGGGATGATTTCGATTTTTGTGGTACATTACCGCACTCCTATTTCACGTTTTAACATGTTGCGATAACGTGGCCAGTTAATTTTTACTGGACTGCTAGCACACTACAATGCAGGCTTTTAATAGACCGGCAGAATTTTTTCACTTCAGCACAATGCAAAGCAAAATTAATTAACCGCTTCCTGACTGCCCTATAGCAGAACTACTGCTACAGGGTGGCAGGGCTGCGCAAAATCATGTATGTATGTATGTATATATATATATATATATATATATATACGGTATATTTATATATGTGATTTTTTATTTCCGAGTAGGGACCCCTACCCACGCCGCCATTGGCAGCTACAGCTGTCGATTACCGGGTCCCAGCCGAAGATTCCCAGCCAGCACCTGGCAATCGTCGAGGAACACTGACGGGAGAGGTCTGTGTTTAACCACAAGTCTACAGGGCACTTATACCCCCTTCCTGTCCAGGCCAATTTCCAGCTTTCAGCGCTGTCACACTTTGAGTGACAATTGCGCAGTCATGCAACACTGTACCCATATGACATTTTTATCATTTTTTTGTGACAGAGCTTTATTTTGGTGGTATTTAATTACCTCTGGGATTTTTATTTTTGAAAAAAATGTTTTTTCTTAGTTTTTTGTTATAAAATTTTGTAATTAAGTGATTTTTCTCCTTCACTGATGTGCGCTAATGAGGCTTCAGTGATGGGCACTGATAGGCTGCACTGATAGACACTGACAGGTGGCACTGATGGGCATTGACAGGCATCACTGATGGGCACTGAAAGGCATCACTGATACATGGCACTGTTAGGCGGCACTGATAGGCAGCACTGACTGGCACTGATAGGCATCACTGACTGGCACTGATAGGCGGCAATGACTGGCACTGATAGGTGGCACTGACTGGCAGCACTGATAGGTGGCACTGATTGGCATTGATAGGTGGCACTGACTGGCACTGATGGGTGACACTGAAAGGCAGATCAGATGGGCACTGATATGTGGCGTTGATGTGCACTGACACAAGGCTCTGATGGATACTGACAGGTGGCACTGCTGGGGCTACACTGATCATCAGGGCACACTGATCATCAGTGCCCTGATGAAAAATTTCATTTTTAAATAGTTTTTACTGGATGTGTTTTAGTCTTCATCCACGCTTTTACAGCAGCTGTTTTTGGCTTTTGGTGTTTTTTTTTCTACAGCCAGTAAACCCTCCAGCATGTTATCCTATGTGTCCATGCACACATAGACTGTAATCAACGTTTTTTGGCTGGAAAAAAAAAACTAGTGGGTTTCTAGAGGAGATTTTTAGCCGTTAAAATACTCTAACGCTGAAAAACATGGTACATCGCGGCAAACCAGCGTTGGACTTTTTTTGCCCAAAAAAAAAAACAATTTTTTTTTTTTTTTGGTAAACGAAAACTGTGAGAAACGCAAAACAAAAAGTGGTGAAACTGAAAAACTCATGTTTTTTAACGTGCCTTTACATAGCTAACGTTAAAAGCATTATTAAAACACCCCGTGTGCATGGAGCCTTATAGCAAATTTATTGTTTTTTCCTCAAAATTCTGTCTTTTTTTGTTAGCGCAAAAAAATAAAAAACCGCAGAGGCGATCAAATACCACCAAAAGAAAGCTGTATTTGTGGGGAAAAAAGAACATAAATTTCATTTGGGTGCAGCGTTGCATGACCGCGCAATTGTCAGTTAAAGTAACGCAGCGCCGTATCACATAAAATGGCCTGGTCAGGAAGGGGCGTAAATCCTCTGGAGGGCAAGTGGCTAACATCTGTAAGTTTTGGTGGACTTAACTGAAAATTAGTTGTGGTGTCCTGGCTAGGTGCATTGTATGTTACCAGGTTTATGGTTTTTTAGTCCATGTTCTCTCTGGTTAAATTTGAGGTTTTTATTATGTATCAAGGCACTGTTGCAAAGTGCAGGAGAGTTGAGAGACTGTGTTGGCAGTGGTTGCTGCCTTATTGAGGACTCTAGGCTTTTACTGGACTGTCCATGTTTGAATCTCTCTGCTATACACAGGAGCCCATAGACTGGGGGGGCATCTGAAACACATCTCAGAGGCTACAACAGAATAGGGAACTTGGGCCATGCAATCCCACTGTGGCTGAGACTCGTTTCTTCACCGCAGATGGCAACAGGTAAGCACCACATTTGACCAGGTATCAGCCTCTTTCTGCTCTTTACAGCAGAGAGAGGGGGGAGGAAGGAGCATCACCCATGGACACAGTCAGATGTCTTGTTGTGCAAGGAGCATGCTGATAGAAGGAGAGAACAGACTGACTGGGAGATGGGCTTATTAGTCTGCTGCTTTCTTTTGTCCAGTTACAGGGTAGGGGGTGGGGAGGAGACCTGTAAATTAATGTGAAACTGCAGCAGAAAAATGTAAGGTCTCTTCCCCTATTTGGTATGGCTGTGCTGTGTGGCAGAGCTGTGTTAGTCTAGATGGACAAAAAATACAAATCCTTTTGGCAGATGAAATATCTCCCTTATATGTATTTGATATGTGATGTAGCTGTTTGCTTGGAGTCAGGCTTTAACATAATGTTCTGCCTACAATATTATTTAACAGTTAAAGGCATTATACACCTCCCTACCTGTGCCTTGTGTTGTTCACCTGCACAAGATGTACATTGATTATATAGTTTCACAATGTTGTTTGCATTCTAGTGTCAGAAATTTCTGTTTGTGGTCAAACATGAGGCATGTGACATGGCACTGCACAGGTTAATGCATGGCCCCAGTCTAGTGTAGGAACTGACACTTCCTGTGAGGAAACCACATATCCCACAATCCCAGGGTCTCTCAGTCTAGTGTTTTGTAGGTGAGAGCTACACCGTAGTTAGCTCTGACACAGACACAAACAGGCAGAGAAATTAACAGAGAGATCACCAAGCAGTCTTTTATTACATTATCACTCCCATATTTGTTAAACAACACAGAGGAAATGGCGATGCATGGATTGGACACTGTGTGACCTGGAACAAGGAGTTGTCGTGCCCCCTTAGTGAATGAGGACAAGCTAGGTGAATGAATACATGAACATAGGAGAATTAATCAGCCATGACACTACAAACTGCAGCCACAACCTGTGAGCCCATCATTACACGGAAACACAAACAAATGTCACAGAGAATATACCTACACCAGGTATTTACAAAGTTGCAGTCAGTAAAATTTTCTTCCAGCAAAGGTCCGAATCTCATGTTTGCACTATAACACATCACAGTGCCCCCATACATCAGTATCTTTAGCCTACCCTTCACATCACAGCCCCCTTTGCATCACAGCTCCCTCTTTACATCAGTGTCCTCAGCCCCTTTCACATCACAACCCCCCTTAAAGCAGTCCCACGGTGTCCTCAGTTCCCCTTTACATCACAGCCCCCCTTTACATTGCAGTGCCCCTTACATCAGAGTGCCCCTTACATCAGAGTGCCCGTTACATCATAGTGCCCCTTTATGTCACAGTGCCTCTTACAATGGAAGTATCCCCTGAACTGTCCTACCTTTGGCAGGGCAGAGGCACTTATCAGCCTGGGGTATGCTCTCCTGAGTCTCCCACAAGGCCGCTGCTGTCATCCTCAGGGGAGGGGTTGGAAGGTGCTGCAGATCTGGATGGAGGGTGACAGGTGTGCAACTTACTATGTTAACAAGTGTGTGATTACCCGCTTGTTGACCTGAAAAGACTCCCGCTCCCTGCCGTGCTCTGAGGATGTCCGTGGTGGCTAGGCGGGAGACTCGGGAGCGGACACACAGTTGCTAAGTGGTGGCCACAGTCCAGACAGGACTGTCACTTGGTGCGGGTCTGGACCGCGGTCCACCATTTAGTGGTCCCTGAACTAGACTATTACCTAATTAACACAACAAAAACATTTGAAAGTGTACAATGCCTTTAAAATTGTAAACATTTGTTGCACCAAGTAAGAAATAGTGTTCCATGAGATATCAGTGTCATTAACCACTTGCCCTCCAGAAGATTCACCCCACTTCCTGACCAGGCCATTTTTTGTGATACTAGCAATGCTGCACTCAAATCAAATTTGTGTCCTTTTTTCCCCACAAATAGAGCTTTCTTTTGGTGGTATTTGATCACCTCTGCGGTTTTTACTTTTTGCGCTATAAAAAACTGACCGTTTTTAAAAAAAATGTATTTGTATTTTCTGCTATAAAACATATCTAATAAAAAAAAATAAAAATAAAATGTCTTCATAAATTTAGACCAAAATGTATTCTGCTACATATTTGTGGTAACAAAATCCCAATATTTGTATACAGATTAGTTTATGTAAAAGTTATAGCGTCTACAAACCATGGTACATTTACTGGAATTTTATTTATTTATTTTTGTACACTAGTAATGGTGGTGATCAGCAACTTATAGCAGGACTGCGATATTGCGGCGGACAATTTTACACTAATTGACATTTTGTGGGAACCAGTGACACTAATATAATGATCAGTGCTAAAAATATGCACTGACACTGTACTAATGACACTGGCTGGGAAGGGCTTAACATCAGGGTGATCAAAGGGTTAAGTGTGTGCCTAGCTATGTGCTTGGTGTACACTAGGTGGTGCTTTTACTATGGGAAGTGATGGATCATTTTCTCTGCTCTGCAGAGAAACCATTCATGACTTTTCCCTGTCAAAACAGTACTATGGCAGTATACATAGCCATAGCACTGTTCTTCCTCCCTGACTGACAATCTGCAGGTGCCGGCGGGCAACTTGCTGGGGCCTGTAGATCGTTTTGTGCTGTGAAAGTTCACAGCTCAAGATCTTCTCTGCTGGCGTGCATGCCCCCGTGTGGCGGAAGTGAAAAGTAACTTTTTTTATGTGATTTTGCACAGGAGAGCCACCTTGTAGCAGTAAAACTGCTATAGGGCGGATGGTACGTTTTTAATAATCCAATCTAAACTTAAAACTTTGGAAAGTGTTATATATTGGTCTACAGAAGGGTAAATAAAAACTTGATTTCGAAAAGGCAGAATATTCACAAATAGTAACGTGTGGCCATATGCTTCGCCCGCCATGGCAGATTACCTGTGCCCTACTTCTAGGCAGACACAAGCCATATTTTCCCTTCTAGCGGTGGAGGAAATGGGAGCCATGCTAGCTTGTGTTCACCCTGGATTATATTGGAGCTTGTTATAATTTAGTTTTCTTGTTGTGCAGGATCCGTTCTGTAAATGATGACATTCTTAATTTTACTCTGGAGTTCACTAATTGGAAGAGGCTCTCTGCAGATGTGGAGCTGCTCCTGTCCACCCACGCAGAATATTTCACCTGGATTCCACAGAAGCATTTCGGTAAGTAAACAACTGTCAAATGAATTCTCTGCGCCTCCGTTTACTATGATTAGAGGGGAAACAGCTCTTCAGGGCATTTGCAAAGGGCTGCGGCAGCAAAGGACGGAATGAGACGTGTGAAGGCTGTCTGTACATTTCTAATGCGCGGCTGCAAGAAGAGGAACCAAAAATAAAACTGTTATTTCGCCCCATAGGTTGCTGGGAAGGTTCAGGAGAGCATTTGTAAATTAGAATGTACTGTATGTGCGGTCATGATTAAAAGGAAGCAAAGCTGACACATCTTTTAGAGATTCTTTTGGTTAAAAGTTAAATGGATAAATATAAATCCCGCTAAGCTCAATCATCTATCTCTATTTATATCCCATTGTTGGTACTCACATTGCTTAGCGTCGGGCCTCATGCAGAGGCACCTTGTTAGCGGCGTCTGAATACAGTATAGAAATCCCTTTTCTTATAATTGCAGGAACAGATTTTTGAGCTACTCTGTCTCTAAAATCAAAGTTCAGATTAAATGGCTCCCTGCAAAGAAGACATGGAATACTCTCTTCTCCGTCTGTCCATGCCATCGATCCATGCAGAAGTTAAGAGTGAAAGCCTGCTGAGGATCCTGAAGACTCTTCTGTAAGTGTTGGTTTCCTGGTACCCCACTGTGCACTGTGGTTCCTTCCATTGGCCCTGTGTCACTGCAGGATACATTACTGACATAGGGGAAAGCAGATCAAACCAATGAGAGCAGCAGGGGACCAAGAACCCAACACTCCCAGAAGTGT